AGGTGCATAATTGTCTCGGGCGCCCTGCGGCAGGCCCTGCAACTTGTGTCAGGGACCTCCATACCCATGACACGGCTACGGTAGACGAGAGTGTTAAAAACCCCATCCTGGCATGCCATGATGAACCCCTCTGTTTCCGATTTGAGCCCGCCTGACTTCAGAAAAGCAAAAGTCAGTTCTTTGGATAAGCCCCGGTCTTCAATGGTCTTGAAGTAGACCGAATGCATGGGCTTATCCATGTGAAGCTGCAGGAGCTTTTTCACTTCTGCAGCTTTGATGCGGGCTTTTCTCCAAGCGGGTTCTAGCTCAGTAACTGAGTCCTGAGCCTCGCGCTCGGAGTCGAAAATCAGAGACAATTCATCGGCTGCTCGACGTGCTGCCCTGAAAAGAAAAGCTCCTACTCCTGCCTCTTCATGGGTTTTAACCATTTGCAGAAGGGGGTCCGAACTCCTGATGACTTTGCAGGCGCCATCCAGAACCATTCTGTTATGGAGATACTCCAAGCTCAAGAGTCCACGGCCACCCTGGTCTCTAGGTATGTATAACCGTGGAACGGACGAATTTGGATGCAGACTCCTATGGAGATGCATCATCTTGCGAGTACTTACGTCAAGTTGTCGCAGCTCGACTTGAGTCCACTTTATCACTCCAAATGAGTAAAGTAGGATCGGAACAGCAAGCATGTTAGTCGCAGCGACTTTGTTCTTCCCCGACAGTTCTGACGACCAGATCTGTCGGAGCCGCTGCCGATACTTGCTGCGGAGAGCGTCTTTTACCCGTTGTGCCTCCTGGATGTGAGTTTCCTCTACACCCAGGTAGGTGTACGTCTCTTCGGCATCCAGGTGGTGTAGGATGCTTCCGTCCACGAGTTGCGCGTCCTTGTCGTAGTTCTCGCATCGTCCTCTCTTGAGATGAACCAGTGCACATTTGTCCATTCCGAATTCCATTCCAATTGCCTGCGTGTACTCCTGTACCACCCTGAGGGATTGGTCCATATCCCTCTCACCAGAGGCATAAAGTTTGAGGTCATCCACATAGAATAAGTGAGTGACTTTATGCCTCCGGTAACTGGGTGGGCCGCAGTTGTATCCTCTGGTTTTGCGGAGCTCAACGGATAGTGGCAGAAGTGAGATGCAGGATAGGAGTGGGCTAAGGGATTCCCCTTGAAATACTCCTCTCCTTATGATGACTGGCTCTGTCTGAACTCTCGCATTACCTGATGTTATAGTAAAGCGGGTCTTCCAGACCAGCATCAGTTGTTCTATGCATCTCACTATAGAATCGGGTACCTTGAGACACTTGAGCAAGTACACGAGTAACTCATGTGACGTTGTGTCAAATGCCTTTCGGTAATCGATCCAGGCCACAGAAAGATTCCGCTTGTACTGCACGGAGTCCTGTGTGATAGATCTATCTATCAACAGGTTCTCCTTGCAGCCAGCGACACCTCTCTTTGACCCACGCTGCTCAAAAATCCGTTGGTAAACCGGGTCAACTACTAGGAGTACTCGCATGTACAAGATGCGCGTGAACAACTTGTAACATGCATTCAGACAGGTAATTGGTCGGTAATTCTTTGGATTGGACAAATCTCCAGTCTTAGGGAGAAGCACGGTTCGCCCCTCGATAAACCACTCAGGGATTTGCTGCTCCCCATTTAGCCAGCTATTAAATATACTGGCTAAATGGTGGTGGGTGGAGGGTAACTTTTTCCACCAAAAGTTATTGATCCCGTCGGGACCAGGAGCAGCAAAGTTCTTGGAGCCTTTGAGGGCTTCTCGAACCTCCTCAGTGGTTATCGGTTGGCGCAGTAATTCGGGCTCAGGCTCTCGATATCTTTCGCAGAAGATACCGAACTGCGCCAGGGCTGGAGTATCTCTGTTGAATGGATGTCTCACCTCATAAATACCCTTCCAAAAGGTTTCCACCTGATCTGCAGTCGGCGGATTGTCAACCACACTTGGAGGCGGTTGAAATAAGCGAGAGGGCTTTTCGCGGAATTGTTTATTTTCCGCCAGCCCTCTCGCTCGCCTCTTTAGTGACTGTTTTGCAGCCACTAACATCCGTATCCTTTCGAGGCAGTGCTGTTTGATGGTGGATAGCACTGCCTCATTTAGTGTGTGATGGGTGCGACGCAATGTATTGGCCATCCGTCGCACCTTCGACGTGAATGGCCTGTTGGCCCTCACATAATCCATCACACACTGGATACGGGAAGTGTGTTGTCTCGCCGACTGGATCTTGGCTTCCATCTTCTGTACACGCCGATCGGCCCTCTCCGTCGGTGAGACCGTTTGTATGGGTTTCTCCGGTAGAGAGGACCGAACGACGTCATACACGGCACAGTTGATGTGCCAGATGTCAGCCCCTTCCGGAAGTGTTCCTCGAAGTGATTCATCCATCCTTGCAAGGTCTTGGGGCCGCAGGGCCTTAATGTTGAGTAGGCTCCTGCGGTTCCTGATTTCGCTCACCTCAGGAAGCACACGGTCCCCTCTCCCGTTGTGAGGCAGAATGGGTGGAGCGTGTTGTTCCTCCACACCATCTTCCTGCCGAGAAGGGACTCTCACGTAGTGTCTAGCGCGTAGGTGAGATACATAATCCCGCAGATTTTGAGCGGTGAGTGCTCCATGCTCTGGGTGTTATTATTATTATTATTATTAGTATAATTATTATTATTATTTTTATTATTATTATTATTAATATTCTGATAATGAAAAGTAGTCTGAGGTCTTGCTGCTATATACTTACCTATATTATCATAATAAAGGTATAATAATAATTTGTCAAGTAGGTCACATTGGTAGTTACTCCAAATATTTATTTCAGTCAATTCTTTCGGTTGCAAAAAAATAGCAGGTTTCATTCGGATCAAAAGTGACTTTGTTTGACAAGCGAACTATGCATTGACGAGGCGAAGCGCCTAGCGAAGCTGAGAGGAAGCAAAATATGCAAAATTCGCTTGACAAACAAAGTGTCACTTTTGATCCTAATAAAACAATCTACCATAGTGGTATCATTAGATGAATGTTGTGACTGGCGCCTATTTTACTGAGCGTTTGGTATTCACTACCGGCTATTTTTGTCAGTGAATAATAGCGTTTTTTTCAAAACGAATTCCCACAACTGCAGACGCCATGAAAAATTATCATCACTTGATATCTGCAGTATGAGATGCGTCTGAACTGCCATCCTGAAAAACCTTTTTTTTTTGCGAATATTTGGTGATGGAATTTTGTTAGAGCTCAAGAAATACCATTGTTCACAGATATTTCCAAACTTGTGTACATATGATACTATGGGCAATAGTACACCCTATTCGAATTCCTCACGAAGATTTTCAAAATTATTCCAATTAATTTGTTTGCATTATGTAACCGTTCTTAGTTCAATCCCACCAGTATATTCTGACGAAGTCAAGAGATCTCAAATCTGGAAATCTTTCCAGCCATTCTATGATTCCTTTTCTGTCAATCAAATCCAAGTTATGTTAAATATTGTCTCTAGGTTAATCGAGGAGGTGGTACATCCATTATTCCAAAAATTTGGAATAATCCAAGTTATGTTCATCGAGCGTTATAAGTATTTCTATGGTGATAGATTTGCGTTTCTGAAGATTATGTAGAAGGGGAACGAACACATGTTTCAATAGGTTCAGGTACAATTATTGTCCATGCGAATTATCCTCATTGAAGAGTGGTCCAATTATCTCATTTTCTAGAATACAAAGCAGGTCCACTCAGGAGACTTTGGCATCGTCCTGTCAAATCACGAGTAGATTTTCACTGTCCCATAATCTATATACAATCATTGTGCTTCTCAACAAGACCTTGCAAATAAAACTTTGATCACTGGAATGGATGTTCTTAAAAAAATTTGCTATCATTTTGAATCATCCAAGATACGATCGTCTTCACTGAGTTACTGCACCATGGTGAATTTGAATTTTGCGTAGAAATAATTCATTCAGTTCAGCTCTATGTATGAGTATGAAACTATCCGACATATTTGGAATCAATATAAAAGACCAGATCAGCTCCATCATGAATTCTCGCTAGAATAGTTTTAATTGCGAAAGGAATTAGTTCCTTCACTAGAGCCACGATGGATTGGTGACTTAAAATCTTGTCCTGATGATGCATTGCAAACTCTGGAAGTTCTTCGATGCAGCGATTATCAGCTCCATGAGTAGATATAATCTCTTTTCTTCTATGTGGGAAATGAAGGGGTTGCCATTTGAAATTTCATAGTAGGGAGTGTGTCTAAGGGTGCAGCAGATGATCATAGTATTCAATCGATATTGGTGTTTCATTTCTCCTTCGGTATCTGAAGCTACAGTTTCATTTAAAAAAAATAGTTATCAATTCAAATCAGAAGAAATGGCAAGGTGGTAAGTTTTGAAATGGAAGCCCCGAATGTATTTGCATGTACAGATTGTTCATCGATTTGTTACATACTATTGTATTCTATACCTTTTTTTATCTTTTTTCCTTCTTTTTCATCAAGGGTTAAGTTGTTAAACAGCATCAGCTGACACTTCGCCTCTTCATCTTTGTATACTACAATAATTATTTTTTATAAATTCAATGTACTGATATTTTCGCAAGATGAATAAATACGATTTATAATTATTATTATTATCATTATATTGGAGTACTTATAAAGACATGATGGCACTTGGCAACATGGTAGTTACAGAGAGCATCGCTCAGCGTTAGACATTGGGACGCATAATACATTGTCTTCATTCCATTTCTGTATGCTGTAATTTCAAAATCAATGTTTCAATTATTTAAGAACCTATCATTACTATTATATTGTTTAACCCCTGAGAGTTTCAATGGATCCATATATTGATTGACAGATTAATAGATGAATTAATTGATCATAATATACCATCTTCATATTGCATATTGCATGGTTTTTTATTCTATTCATCTATTCATTCGATTGGTCCAGAAAATAAAAACGAAATATCTAATACCTATACGTATATTGTTTCAGATGCTTCTTTCTTCATTGTGCATGATATTTGTGACAAACCAACCATGTTAACAGATCCTTGGTTCCAATCTTGGCACCCGCCTGGTGGTCTCGTTGCAGATCAGCATCCATTTCATGGTCCAGTTCACATGAGTAATTTCTCTGACTTCAACAATTTTGGGGGATACCAGTTCACGCAAAGTGAGTACTCATCGATTGTATAATGTTGATTTTGCCCTAATTCAATCTAATCGAGCAGAACAAAGATCATGCTATAAATGGACATTTATATGATGATGGTGATTATATTGAGACGAGTGAAACAGTGCATGAAGTCGGGAAAAAAACATCAGATAAATAAACAAAGGTTTCTTTTATTGTATACAGGGTGGTTCTCGAGTGATTGTATATAGAAGTATAGTAGATTGTTGACTTAAAAACATCACTATCCAAATTGGTCTCGGGATGAAATATTGACTATATATCAGAGAAATGGAAGATGGTGAGAGTAAAATTAAAAAAATCATTATATGTAATGTTTGGTGTGAGGAATCATAATTTGTGGTATTTATTCATTTATTTATTCACACTGTCCTCCAAAAAACAATTCTACAACACAGGAACTGAGTAAGCATTTGCATAATAGTACTAACTCGAGTACTAACAATACAAAAAGCTAGGCATGACACAGAGTTCGCACAATAAGACTACATCAATTTGTAAAAAGCTCAAGATGATTACAAAAATATTACTGCTAATAATATCAGTTCTTGATTTGCCATCACAATGGAATATATCAAGTTGGTCACTTATCAAGTTATAGTTGCTACACATAGTATAAATAGAGAAGTTTCATTACAGGGTGTCCCATTGGGAAACGGAGAAACTTCAACAGTGGGTACAGTTCATCAAGGTGGTTCTGAATTCACCTTACTTGTTTCACAAGTTTTATATCCGAGATATAGGGTCCTATCAAATCTGCTCAATTCTTTGACACAATTCCTTCTTTTTCACCAAAGCGACTTACGTATCAGTCACAAGAAAAATCCATATCCGGATTAACGAAAATTGGTCATATTTCTGGACCCCAAAAAGAACACCCTGTATTTTCGAATTTCCAAAATCCGCATACATATTTGGAAAGTGCAAAAAAGCTGAATTATATGATGTAACTTTTCATTCTCCCGCATGATATTCAACTAAAGAAAGTGGAATGAAATGATGAATAATCACAAAAAGCTCAAAGTCATATCCACACAATGTTCATGAAATGAACAACGGTAGATTTCGGGAAAAAAACAAACTACTTTCCTGGCTAATGCCACGTAGAACATTGAATTACATCCTCCCGAAATCGATGCATCGACTCGTATAAACGAATACTGATAAAAGTGATTATTTCCTGAATGCCTATTGATTTCTATTCAGCCAATCCACGCTAGACACCTACATACCAGTTTCGAGGTCTTTGATTTTCATCAGTGCAGTTCAATCTCCAGCCAGCAGTCCTAAGATCGCCGACTAGGCGTAGCCTAGCCAAACAAAACTCAAGTAGGCATTACATTCCCCCAGGAGGCGTCTTCCATAGACGATATAAAAGCAACGCCATCTGAGTAGGAAAGAAGAAAAGAAACATTCCAAAACTGAAATTCCTATACGGGAGTGGCTGGTTGCCCGACTGGCGTAATTTCAAACAAAAATTGGTCACATTCTGGTCCCCAAAACGAGTATTTGTATTTTAGAATTTCCAAAATCTACTTATATATTTGGGAAGTGCACAAAAAGCTTAATCGTATGGTGTTCCAAGATGGTGTATGAAGGGTAATGAAAGTTCTATAAGATGAATTGTATAATTGTATGCGCTCTCAGGGCACGGGCTTCATTTATTGGAAACCCGTTTTTTCATTTATGAATTCGATTTTTCGACTATGGGCATTGACAACAATTTCAAAATTAGCAGCATCACATATTTTCAACTTCAAGTAAGTCAAGAACAAATTATGTGAATCTGTCCGTATTTTAGAACTTTCAATTAGGCTGAAGATGGTCTTTTATAATACCGAAACATAAGATATTTCATAAATTATTCAATGCAGTGTTTTAAATTGTTTCACGTACTACCTTGATAACTTATCCTACAGTCTCTTGGCTGACTCGATCACTTGATCGGACACCGCTGGATTTTTTCTTCTTGGAGACGTTACAAACTATTTGTTCTCGCAAATACTTCTGAAAACGAAGAAGAACAAAAGAACAGTTCTATCGAAGTATACAATAGTATAACCCCAGAAATACTTATGAAAATGTCGTAGAAGCAACTGTCAGCAGGAAATATTCTTGTTGGAAGATAATGGTTATAATTTTGAATAGTTGTTATCAATGTTATTGTCCTCCAATACTGTTCTTGATGTCAATGTTTAGTTATCAACAGTAATTACATAAGTGGTGGTAATTTTTTGATAATTTCAACTAGATGCACGAACCTTTGTTGCAGTTGAAATTATAAAGAAAAATTACCACCACGAATGTTATTCGGCGTGAGTATTTCGCAAAATAACCAGCAGAAACGGAGTTTCTGTTGTCACCAACTTCGATATTGCGTCATTTTTCTTCGAACAGACTTGTTCATCGAACAAAACAACCTACCAACAACGCAGTCTCTATGGCTTCTTTTCAAACGAAGATGCAAACGTGAAAAAATTATCGCTTCGCAACTAACATCAGTATGATACCAGATGATTGACTAGAATTGAGTATTGATATTGGTTGAAACAACGAAAACGTCACACTTTGACATGATTGTGAAAAAATAGTCAAGGTAATTCGTGTAAGAATCCATTAACATATTATGTTCAACATCAAATTATTAGTGATGAGTTTAACTATTGGTGTTTCCTCTTTGCAATTAAGAAAAATATCGATGATGGCTAGTAGTAGGTCGAAACACATTCAAATCAAATATTTTAATACATTGTTGAAATCAGAATTAATATCAAGTTTCAGTTTTAAATATTCCTAGCAGATGTACGATAGCCGAATCATGGTGCTATTCACATGCCCTATTTATTATTTCTACTCTGTCATGACCAAATTGCTTGACAAATAATCTTCTCCTTCTCCCTAATATCGCGCAAGAAAACATTATTTTCACCACCACTAGCCATAGAACCTACGACTATTTACTCCATTTAAAGGCGTGAAACATGTTTTTCTATCAAGGTGGTTTCTGTCATTTTAGGAACTTCTATAGTCAATATACAGGGTATCCCGAAATCAGCCTGCTAAACTTCACCAGCGGCTTTTACGACCAAAAATAGAAAGAAAACATTCAATGAACATGAGTCGAGAAATGTCTCCCACCTTTTTAGAGAAAAAAGGTACTCATGTTCCATGACAATCAGATGTAATATTATCGAGTAAAAGCAATTTAAAAATCTTGTAACATCTCAGATATTATGCATTAAATTGCATTGAGGGGTAGTGGAAATGAAAGAAAATGCACAAAAATTGAAGTAGTTTTTTCATCATCATTCTCCTATTTCTCGCGCATTCATGATATTAGTTGGTCGAGATAACGTACCTACTTTATTTTTAATAGCCACTATGAAAATTGGAAACGTTATGAATAAGATGTGAGTGCTTTATTATTTTTAAATCGATTTCACTCGAAAATGATACATCTGATCGATGCGGAACACGAGCACTCTTATTTGTGAAACGGTGTGGATTTCCATAATCCGACTTTGAATTGGTCGAAACAAATGCATACGAAGAAGCAATATTTAATGTAGTCCCACCCTGTATTATACACTCCTGAATAGAACTTTGAAATGATTTCCTGTTCACCGCATTGGGCATGAAAAGTTTAGTTTTTGTACCGAATAACATCATTTTATCACTCGGAGTTTTTGAAATATTCGAGAAATATCATCTTCAGGAGTCCCTTTTTATGGGGCCGTAGTTCCCTTAGAAGACATTTGTCGATTCATTTTCATTGAAACTTTTATTTCTATTTTTGATCGAACAAACCACTGGTGAAGTTTGACAGGGTAAATTCGGGAGACCCTGTATAAATTAACTCGAATTCACTGCCGTGATGCTAGATTCGCATGTATGACACTATATTCATCAATAACGACTTGTCATGATGCTGTCATGATCATAGCTAATTGATTTCAAATAGTATACCCCTTTGCTGAAGCTGGGATATAATCATGGTGCCTGGACAATAATGATGCTCTTAACTCTACCTTGGTGTATGAATTACTGTTTCGTATAGGACCCTCAAGAATATTCTATATATTTATTGAATCTGCCTCGTCAACATATAACTCTTTCAACAATTAGATTATATATACAGTGAGGACGTAAAAAGTCCTCCCCCCACTTTTACCTTTGAACGGAACAAGCTAGCGAGGTCGGGTAAAATTCAGGCAAAAAGGTACCTCTTTTACTACTATTTGGCATAAAAATAGTTGTGGTCACGTGACCTAGTATCAAGTGGGCACCATCAACTTTTTTTTTTCAAATTTAAAGAGGGGTCACGTGGTACCTTGTTTTGAAGGCCTTTAGATTCTCTATCCAACACCGCTTCGTTTGTACAAATCGGCCAAGCCGTTTCAAAATGACAAGCGTTTGAAATTTGCTTCAAATATTAATATTAATGCATAAAAAATCTGAATAAATTTTAATTGCAGCATGATTTCAAGTAGGAATTGTAACAAGTGCTCAAACATGCTCGAAATGTTCATCGTTCACTTATTGACACTGAAAAATCGGTTTTGGAATTCAATCCGAACGTGATTTACTGTTTCCCAGGTACATTTCAAACGCTTGTCATTTTGAAACGGCTTGACTGATTTTCACACACAATGCAGAGTTGGATAGAGAATCGAAAGGCCTTCAAAACAAGGTACCACGTGACCCCTCTTCACATTTAAAAAAAAAAGTTGATGGTGCCCACTTGACACTATGTCACGTGACCACAACCATTTTCATGCCAAATAGTAGTGAAAGAAGTACCTTTTTGCCTGGATTTTACCCGACCTCGCTAGCTTGTTCCGTTCAAAGGTTAAAGGGGGAGGAGGACTTCTTACGTCCTCACTGTATATATTATCAAAATCCCTGTTACCATATGATGGTGTAGGGTGGGTTACATAAATTATACAATAATTATACTATTTCACCGAGTTTCATGTACAAATTTGGCCCATTCCTTTTTATTTCTTGTCATAATCTTTGCCTCTTCCCATGTTTTCCCTTTCTTTCTTAAAATTTCTCCCATTGCTCCGTCCCATGTTTGTCTTGGTCTTCCTCGTTTCTTCCTATTTTGTATTTTTGCTTCCCATACCTGTTTTACCGGCCTTGCATCGTTCCTAAAAGTTCTTGGAAATATTCTCTCCATCTATTCATTATTTGATCCTCTTCCGTTAGGATATTTCCGTTCTTGTTTTTAAGTCTAACAATGTCGTGCGTTCTCTCTTTCCTCAATGATTTAAGCGTTCTATAGAATAATTTTTGGTTTGATTTGCTATCCCTCTCCATTTTCTCTCCAAATTCTGCCCACTTGTTTTTCTTAGCTGATGTTACCAATTCTTTAACTTTTTTCCTCTCATCTTTGTATGATTCATAATTCTCTATTGTTTTATTGCTCAGATATATTTTCCATTTCTTTTTCTTAATTTTTATTTGGTTTTTTATTTCATCCGTCCACCAAGCTGTTTGTTTTTTTTCCATTACTTTTTTTACTACTTCCACATATTTCTTTAGCTGTATCTAGTATGGTGTCCTTGAAAAAATTCCATATCACTTCTATATTTCCTGTTTCTATTATTTCCATTTTCTCTTCGAACTTTTTAGATTAATGAGGTAAATCACAGTTGAGTTCACAACAGATCTCGTGAATACGAAGTAAACTTGGAATGTTTCATATTATATAATACTATTTTTTTTCCAGCAACGCGAACTCAAGCAAGACCAGACACATTGTTGCCATATCTCCTATCACTTAGTGTAATCAGACCAAGATTAGAAACAAAGCCCATCAGACAACAAGTACATCCAAGACCGCGATCAGAGTCTAATATAAGACAACGATTGCCGCCTACCAGACACCAGTCGCAGACTTTCAGGAAATCTTCAATATTGGAACAGAACATACCACTAGAAAAAACAGGTCCTTTCACTACATGGTACCAATGGGGTGTACTAGATTTCGAATATCCTTCCGAAGAAGCACGGCAGCAAGCCATATTGAATGAAGAGTTCATACCAAAAAACAACCTACCTCTAGGTAAGAAACATTTCATCAACTTTCTAACTCTCACCGTTTAGGACAAAGCAATAGGGAGTTGAAGTGTTGCCATGAACGTTAACGTAAACGTAGAAATGGACAGCAACGCATGCGCATTTTCCAATTCTTCACGTTTGCTTTGTTAGTGGGCTTACGGTTGTACGTTATCTTACGTACCTTCACGTATACCTTATTAAATATCAACGTACGTTAACCAAACTATACAAGAAATATGCCGATGAGTCAAAATAATCAAATTTGGGATCCCCAACGAGTTCTGCATCAGGGAGTCCTCTCATTTAGACAGGGATAAATGTTCGAATCTAAACACACAACCAAAAATGACCGATATAAACCGAAACGAAATATATTATTACGTTATGATGACAGTGACAACTTCAACTCAATTTAACGACAATACGTAAACGTAATTCTTCGTAAGTTAACATCTACGTGGAGGTCTACATACGTACAGTGATTACTTCAACTCTTTAATACTGTCCTTATGTATCCGGTGGAAACCGAGTAGGTACTCTGAAAACAATCATATTGTGAATTTTTAGTACCTATATGTAAAGATTTGTATTTTTTGTGTAGGGGATTAAAGGAACAAATTTACAATCAGTAATGTACCTCACAATTGGGGTTGTAATTTTGTTTGATGAATGTAAATTTGATACTGTAAAAATGCACTGAATATCGTTTGATTTTCCAATTATCGCCATTTTATGTACTGTGAATTCACAACAATGTTACAATTTGGAAGACTGAAATCACAATAAGCATTCATGGAATTACAGTTTTCACTTGTGAAATCGCATATGTTTTGTTTATGATAATTCTGACCTTCTATGCCCTTCCACCTGCTAGAAAGTATGAATATGAATAAAACTAGATGGTGAGAAGAATATCTCTTGTATTGAATCAAAAATACAATAAAAACTTTGAAAAATCTATCATAGACTGGGAATTCATGAATTAAGGATATTAATATCTTGAATGATTTTTCATTCAACTACTCACGTGTATGCGTGTGTCCTTACAAGTATATACTTACACGTATCTCCTATCTATCTAGGTAGGGACGATGTTCTTCAAACATTATAGGAATTTCCTGTCGTGCGCTCCAAGAGATAAAAAAAGTGGTCCGTGTCCGTGTCCATCTGACCATTACAGTAGAGTTATAACCTCTATGATGATTTTCCATATATCTACATAAATTCTGAGAGGTGTCACTCGCTGGCACAACTGAAAACCCAAAAATATTGTACTTATAGTCTTCGGCCATGATTTTAGATATAAAGATCATTTGAATTTCTGTTAGAACCACGAAAGACGCACAAAGACATAAGTGTACTCACCTCTTCGAATGTTCTCTGATGGAAAAACTACACCAGTTTCAGTCGTATTCCAATAAGTGTCAATTCAATTTCAGAAAGCGTCAATTGTATTTCAGAATAGTCAGTTGTATTTCAGAATAGTCAGTTGAATTTCATAAGGCGTCAATTGTATTTCAGAATGGTCTATTGGATTTCAGAAAGCGCCCATTATATCTCAAATGATATTTTCTGAAATACAATTGACGCTTACTGAATTGAATTGACTAATCTGAAATACAATTGACTCTTTCTCAAATACAAATGACTATTCAACTGCTAGATCTCATAACTAAGAGATCCAGGATGAACAGAGTTGTTCCAATTGTCAGCAGGAGCGAGGCAGTACTGTTTCGATCCACCAAGTTTCATTAGCCACTCCTGGTCTGCTGACAACTTGAACAACTCTACGCTTCGGGTATATCACCCATTTCGAAAACGCAGGGTATAGCATGAAGTTCTCGTCATGTTGCAGACATCTAGTGGCAAAGCTCTAAGGTAGGATCAAGAGGTCACGACATATACTGTATGGCGCTGCCATCTATAGTCACACGTACAGACCCTCACGTCAATGATTCACGTCGTTGATTGATATATTACGCTTACGCTGGGAAGATGCCCAACCTTATGGGGCAAAACGAGGTCCAAAAAAATCTCACAACTAGATGGCGTTCCATAGTTCGAAATCTCACATAGTGGCGGCGATAGTGTCGAACGATGTCGGAGCAATACTTCGTAATTTGACTGGCAGGTGCGCCACTTACGAAGATAATCTATTGGAATGCAGATGGCGTGCGACTTGGAACAATTGAACAATCCATAATCCAGAACGCTTGTATCGAATCCACGATCAATCAGTACGATTCTAATTAATATTGCGGTAAATTTGAATTTGTTAGTAATAGTTGTACTGGATGTGCTTCTAACGAGCGCATCACGGACGTGAGATCATGAAAAAAGTTTATAGAAATCGAATTGGAGTAAATGCTTCCATTTTTGGCTATTGTGGAATAAACTGGTCAGCGGATATCAATATATAAGCTGCTCATGAATTTGATTGAAATTCACGAACCCGGACCAGTGTTGTCACCTTAGTGTATTTTACCGTAGAACTGAATCTAAATGGGTCTGTTTGAGTGGAATTTCATATTTCATTATGTCGAATTACTAAATCAAACTATAATTCACTGTCGCAAATCATTTTCTTGTCAGAGCTATGTACAATTTTTGAAATTCTCATTATTGAAATCACTGTTACTTATCACATGAAAAACGCGGAACATTGCGTGACAATTCTATACCGCTATCAATCCAAAGTATTTTATACTGGAATATGATCCGACCTATGCATTGCCGAAACTTGGAATGCCAATAATTTCCTTTGACTTTTGTGGGACGGCCGAGTCGGTGCGTTTGTCGGCGATAGGGCTGCCAAGCCGTCGTTTGTCGCACTAACAACACAAGTACATCCTAGGGACTTCCCAGGGACGTCCCTAATTTTATACAAGGACATCCCAGAGATATTCTTTGTCGGGACAGAGTATATACTAGGGACGTCCCAGGGACATCAGCTGGCTGACAAAAAAAGCATCCAAGAGATTTCCGTCTGGTACGTCATTGGGATGTACCAAGTACGAAGAAAGGATATCACAAGGAGGTCGCAAGGATATTCTAGGGACATCCCTTCGACAAAAGAAAAAAAATGTAGGTCGAGTAGGGTTTCAATCCGGAACCTTTAGCTTATCAGGCACACACCTTATTACTCCATTGGCTGATATGCCTTCTGAAGATTTATGTACCAAACAGATTTTTAAACAGGACTAAACTGCAGTAACCTGAATAAATACAACTTTGTAAGGATTTGGGTATAATTATTATCATCATTCGTGGATGTTTCAAATGAGGGGCATTATGCATTTACAATTTCTGTTCGCGAAAAATGGTCATTTCTTGAGAAGTTCTGAGACAATCTTCTTTATTTTCATTACAATTATTTACCGGAAAAAAACCAATCATTTTCATGAAAATTCAACTCAATATTTTGATGAAAGTCAATTACTCTGATGTGAATAGATATCAGATATTCCAGGGACACGAATAGGATAACCTATGGATGTACCGGGCAGGATGTCCACTGGACAACCACGGCGGGACATCCCCTGGATACCCCAATTATGTCCTTGTACCGTGTGACAAAAAGGGTACGTATCTAGAGCATCCCTGTGTTGTTAGGGCGGAGATTCTGAGCGTTCCGTAGTCTGTACTCCGTTGTTCTGGAGCGGCAAAATCGATTCTACTCAGAAAAAGTTACTGGTATCACAAAATATCAACGCCGATTTCATGATTATATATCGTGGCATATAGACTGGAAATGTAGCTGTTTTCTGTTGATTTTGTTTTCATCTTTTTAAATATACCAAAAAAGAATTCATATTGTTCAATAACTAGATACTGTGAAAAATTGTACATAAGCTTGCAGCTTCAACTCTTGTGATCCAATAAATAAATAAATTCTATATATGTTTCAATAGTTATGACTCACTCTGTATATTATGCCTATATATAGATGATGTATTTTATTTCATTTTTATTGTGAACCATTAACAATCAGAGATTCTAAGATATCTGACTATTTATTTTTTAGAAATTATCACATTCAGATTGATTATATTATCAATATTTTGTGATGTCTTATTAATACAAAACTTTAATATGGATACAAATTGAGTGAAGAAAATAATCAACGAAAAAGGCGTGAGATGTTTTCCAGATATACATATATATTGGTCTAGCCAAAGTATGACAAGTTATTCACAAGGGAATTTAAAAAAACGCCACGGAGTAGGAATCCAACTGAGTGAGAGATCATAATATGTTCTTCTCTCTTCCGCAAGGAACCGAGAGAAAAATCAATACTCGCAACCCGTTGTTATTGTTGCGGATTGCGGATTCCCCATATACGTCCATGGGATTCACCGACGTAGCAAAAAAATTTTATCGGAACCGGTCGGGCGGGTCGGGTCTCATCGTAGAAGACAAGGATAAACAAAAAAATCTGGAGCGATAGCACGCGGTGGGATGGGATCTGTAATTCTTTACAGAAGTGTAGTAATCTGTACAATTAGTTCAGACATGTTCTGTGTGCCTAGTGGAGTCGCTACCTCACAATGGCTAAACGATATAGACGAGGGGATGAGCGGGGCATCGACTCGCAAATAATACAGGTTGGGCATCTTCCCAGCGTAAGCGTAATATATCAATCAACGTTCACGTCCATACGCTACAGCCCAGATAGCACAAATTCCTTTTGAGGCCCTTCTGAGGCGTTCACAATCATGTCCTCAGGACGTCGAGAGCGAGCCTGAGGACATTCTCAAGACATCCTCCTGTTACCATTCTCTACATACTAATAACGTCTCAGAACATCCCTATAAAATCTTTCGAGACAGCCTCAGGACATCATGGTAACAACTTGAGGCGGTTTTTGATGATGTTTCAAGGAGGTTC